ATCTTATCTGTTATTTTCAGTAATTAATCTCTGTACAGGTTTGGTAGATTTGACTTATCTCGTAACCACCATAAAAAATAAGGAAATAAATATAAATTATGCCTTTTCAATCTAGAATGAACAAAAATTATAACACAAAAATATAAATGTTTAGAGTAACTAGCTTAAAACTTGTAACATTATACATTTTTATTATATTTATTATTTTTATTATACTGACCTTTCAGCCATGTCTGGCTAACAATACAGAAGTTACAATGATCTGGCTCATGTGCACTCATGTTACCATATCAAATAACATAAAGGTGACCTTTGTTCTGTACAAAGTAACTTGTCTTGGCTGTGTTTTAGTTGAGTAGAATTTTGTAAAGTGCAGTCACATTTCAATTATTATACGTTATATATGTGTATAGATTATTACTATTTTGAAATAAGTTCTTAAAGTTATTTTTCCTAAAACATAGAACAGTAAATAGAGAAGTAAAGCAAACAATTATCTCTTCTAGTTATGACCTTTGTACTCGGTTGCTGCTTGACGTAGACTGATAAGCCTTTAAAAATTTTGCATGTAGAGGATATGAAACAAAATATTGTTTTGGGGTTTTATATATATATATATTTGAGTAACTAAAAAATCATAAGTTAATACATTAATACCATAGAATTCCACTATAATTTATCAAGCTTAGTAACTAAGATGTATTTTACTCTAATAAAATATGAAATTTCAAGCAGACTAAAGACATCACCCTACCTTATTGAAATATTGATTCAAAAGAAACAATGGTGCCAAGTCCGTTAAAATGGCTGAGAAAGCCACTAGGGGGACAATATTCACTTCCGATTGGTTATTCATCTCATATATAGAAGTAAGTGTATATAAGGGAGTGTTTCCAAAAATGGAAAGAGGTTGGTGGGGTGCCACTGTGTTTGGTTTATTACATGAGAAATATTTTAAATTGAAAAGATAAGAGGCTCCTATTTTATATTCTAGCTTGTCAATATTGGTAATTTGAGTTTCTAATTCGTATGAAATTATAGACTTAGTATTTTGACTTCCCAAACATCTAATTTGAACCAGTGCTGCATTCACCATACCCATGTCACACAAAAAACATTGTTTATCTGTGTTATTTTAATATTTGCTTTTAAATTAAGAAATTGAGTAATATATAGTACTAAAATTTGAATTAATATCTGTAGTTTGATACCAAAGTTAACATAAATTCATGAAATAGTAGTTCAATAACATTTTGAGTGTGAGTCAACAAACAAGATGACATGGCCCTTCATCCTTGACTCATCTCAAAAGGGTTAAGTTTGGCAATTAGTCATCTTTACCTTCTTTCAACATACTTTTAAGTAGTTTTTTAGTTTGTGTTTTTACAAAAAATAGTATGCAAATATAAGATTTTAGAATATTTTTTTAACAGAAATTAGTTGTATAACAGGTAATTTTTTTCAATAAGTAAAATTAATTAACCATTTAATAAAGTTACTTAGAATAATGATAAAAAAAACGTTTTTTATAAGCCACTTTCTCAAAAAAATTTTAAAACATTTTCTGTAACACATTTTTTGAACCATAAATGTAGTTTGTGAAAATTACACATGAAAGTTATAAACTAAAGCTTTTTTTATAATTTTAAATTTACAGTTGGATTATAAATTTGAAATATAGTCACAGTATAAGTTTAGAGTTTCTAATTCTGAGTGGTTTATAAGAAAAGATTATCTGTTGTTGGTTGATTAGTTATTTCTATATTAGTACAGAATATTTGGTTTTTAGCAAACTGTAACTATTGAAGTACTTACAAAGGCTTGAGTACACACTAGTTTGTTTCCTTGAATACGAGACACTGAACTAGAGTAATGTGCATGCTCACTAACATTATTATAATTCATTCCTCACTCTACACAGGCGTGGTCGAATTGACTGACCTTGTGACCACTTTGTACTCATTTAAAGTCATTATAGTTTTGATACAACTAACTTTTAATATAGTATGTGTAGCTTCACAAAATTTACCAGACTTTCAGTAAACGTTACAAGTCTTTTGCATACAAAAAATCAGATTTTTTAGTGAAGTATTTTTAATAAACTAAAAAAGCTTGTCCATGAATATATTGAGTCTTTTTTTTTACTAAACTGAAAGCAAAGTGAGTTTCATGTTAAGATTAAAAATACTTTTCTTCATATCAAAAATCTCAAGTTTCATTTCAGATATTTTTTTCAGTAAAACTTTATATTTTATCTGTTATTTTTTTACCATAACTCCATACAAGGTTGGTCAGTTTGACCGACCTTATAACCACCAAAAAAAAACGAAATAAATCTAAATTACCCTTTTTTCTTTCTAGAGTGACTTCAAACTGTAACATGAAACTACATTTGTTTATCCTAAGTAGCTCTAAATTTGTTACAGTATACATATTTTTATAATTAAATTTTGTTGTTTTATTGCCCTTTAAACCATTTCTAACTATTATCAGTGCCAATATAAGTTGTAAATCACTCGAGGAATGTGCAGCTCACGTTATGCTAATGAATTACATTACCCAGGAGCTACTACGAGCTGCTCGTCTGCGTTTCTCCTGAAAATTTTTTTTATAATAATATTATTATTTATTTTTCCTAATATGAGCTTAACTAACCTAAAAAGATCCCTATTTTTACCTTTTAGTTACTTTTATAATTATACGTAAAAGAATAAACAAGAAATAAAATCCTGAATCAATCTTCTTTTTTCTTGTTGTCGATTGTCGAAGAGAGTTAATCCTAATTGTTTTATATTAATGGTAGTAATGCACTAAATAGTTTTTATTAACTTCAGTAATGAACCAAAGAATATAGACTAATAACATGCAAAAAGCAGAGAATGTCCCATAACTATCACAATTTTTTTGGCTTTCTCACTATGTGACAAGAGCTGTTACAGATTCATCCCAGCTAGTTGATATGTTTCCCGTGCAAATGAAGCATGTACTAAAATAGAAATTGACAAATCTCT